TCCAGACCTGTGCCTGTGTCCCGGCTTGAAAAAGCATGAGCTAGGGTGAGGCGCAGGCCCTGTACCTGCCCTCAGTGCTTTAGTTATCTCTCTGTTTATTGCTACAGGATGCATGCACATGCCAGAGAGACAGCGGGGGTGGGAAGGGGAGAGAAAGCACCCTGCAAAGGAGAGCAGTCAAGCTGCAATCCCCTCTTCTCCATCTCTCCGTCCTCTCACGATTTTAGACAGGCATACACACACGCCCAGTGTGTTTCTCAAGCTACTGGTCCAATACCCTGTCTATATGGATGGCCATGTGGAATCCAGCTGCCTTAGCCATAGGACTACAGAGCCAGCAGAGAGTTTTAAGCCACCGGGTTCAGGACTTGAACCACAGTTGACTGCGTGGGAGTCCAGCGACATAGAGCCATTACGCTAACTGCTGATCCCAAGGCCTGTTTACCTTTCTCTTAACTTTTGCAGCTGTGTGTGTGTGTGTGTGTGTGTGTGTGTGTGTGTGTGTGTATACATAAAATAGATTTATATATTTATTGCCATGACCTGCTCGGCTGAACACGTTTCTCTGTGTAGGTGGCTGTGGATTAGAAATAGACCCAATAACAAACACACAAAGACACACAAAAAGCGAGAATCGGGTGGGCACAGCTTCTCTGATGGCGAAGTTGTGACCTGGAACCAGCCTCAGGTTTATTCTTTTAAAGGGCAGAAAACGGGGGAAGAGAAATGGAATGCAAAACCAGTTGTTTTGGGATATTAATCATCTGAAGATGTGAAAAAGACTGGCACCGCGTAATTTCTCTGATCTTTTTGGGGGAGAGTCTAATAAACACATGTAGCTTCCTTTAACTTCATACTGCCCTGCAGTATCGGGTGTCAACAACAGGAAGATAACTGATAACCACAGGCAGACAGTGCTTAGACAGAGAGATAGATAACTGATAACCACAGGCAGACAGTGCTTTTGTATGTAAATGTTCTCTATAGCCATTGCTAGAGTAGCTCCCAGGGAAGCGCATTTCTGCATGAGTCTAAAGGTCATGGTGTGTTTTCTCAGATTTCCGGCTTTACAATTTATTAATTTTTTTAGAGAGATTTTTCGCAATAGGGCACATGCTCTTACAGAAGAAACAGAGAGAGACAGAGAGACAGAAATGGGAAATCACCCCTAGTGGGGGTGGTCACACTACAATCCCTTCTCCTCCATTCTCCTCTCAGTATTTTGGGCACACACATACATGCACCCAGCATCAGTTTCAAGCCACTGGGTCCAGGACTTGAACCGTGGTTGACCATGTGGGAGTTCAGTGAGGTAACCATTACATTATTTGCTGGTCCCACAGCTTTATATTTAAAAAAAAAAAAATAGACGAGCTCTCTGGCCAGCAGGTGGTGTGATGGTAAAGGTGATGGATCCCACATGGCCAACTCTGCAGTCTGAGTCCCTGACCCAGTGGCTTGAAAAACACACTGACTGTGTGTGTTGCATGCCCCAAATCATCTCATTTTCCTTTTCTCTCTGTCTCTCTTCAACAAGTACGTGTGCCCTATGGCAAAAATCTAATAATAAATAAATAAATAAATAAATAAATAAATAAATAAATGAATAAATCAATCACATTAGCTATCATTTTGAGGGATACATAGGAGGGAAAAATAGTTCAATTCATTTTGAAAAGACTTCTAATTTATTTTACATAAACATGCTTTCTACCTTTATCGTAGTAAAAGAAAACCCCACATAACATGAAATGTAGTCTCTGTTAGGCTGGAGGCCTGGGCAGCTTGGGTGTAGGGTATTGAACACCACGCCACAGTTGGCTGATGCAACCTGGATGTAGCCTGTCATCAGACCTTGCTGCACTCAGATCCAACCCTGATGTAGCACATGTACTCTACTCTGCACATGGTGCTCTCCTTTGCACATGGTGCTCTACTCTGCACATGGCGCTCTACTTTGCACACGGGACTCTACTCTGCACACGTCACCAGACCTTACGTGGCACAGTAGTCTGCTCTCCTCCTAAACCTTTACCATACATGGACTGTTTCTACCTCTAAGACACTCCCCCTCCTTATACTCTTATAAAAGTCACCAAATCCTGCCCTAGCACCGACTTCTGTGACCTGAATCCCTCCCTCTCTCTCCCTTCCCGTTGGACCAGCGAACCTCTCCTGGGAGTGCTCCCAATAAAGGCTCTACACTTCTATTTTCTTACATGGTCAGCCCATTCTTTACAGTTTCAACTAATTTTTTAAAGAATTATTTTAAAAAATTATTTTTAAAAGAATTTTTTAAATGAAAAATATTTCATTTTATTCTTTTAAAAAAATAATGATTTATTTAATTGTATTTATTCATTCATTTATTTTAATTTGACCAGACACACACACACACACACACACACACACACACACACACAGAGAAAGTGAGAAAGCAAGCCACCAGGTCCAGGATTCAAACCATGGTTGATCATGTGGGAGTGTCCCAAGCCTTACCCACCATGCCACCTGCTGGTTTCCTTATTTTATTCTTTATTATTATTTTTAATTCACTTTAGGGCACGTGCATTCACCAGAGAGAGACAGAGAAACAGAGAGAGGGAAGGAGTGAGAAAGCAAGTCACCAGGTCAGGGACTTGAACTGTGGTGGGCTGTGTGGGAGTCCAGAACTCTAACCACCCCACCTGCTGTCCCTTCTCTTAACTAATTTTTAAGTGAATGGCACAGTATTGATAGCTGTAGGCAAAATGTTGGAAATTTTTTGCCTTGCATAACTGAAACATTACATTCAATTCCACAGCACCTCATCAATTTCCACTGCCCCCAGTCCCTAACTGCCATTTTAGTTTCTGCTTCTGAGCAGGCTCTTTTACATGCTTGTTGGTCCTCCCATCCTCATGAAGTTTTTTTCTTCTTTTTAAGGTTTTGCCATAGGGTGTGTGCACTCGCCCGAGAGAGACAGTGAGAGGAAAGTGAGAAATCACCCCAGTGGGGATGTGGGGGATGGCCACATCACAATCCCTTCCACTCCATTCTCCTTCAAGATTTTGGACATGTATGCACATGTACCCAGAGTGATTTTCAAGCTACCAGGCCCAGGACTCAAACCATGGTTAGCCATGTAGAAGTCCAATGTCTTAACCACCATGCTACCTGCGGGTCCAAAGCCTGTTTATTTTTAGCTTGGGCCCCTGCCAACTTCTTAGGCAATTACATTTTCACATTATTATCACCCTGTGCCCAGAAAAAAATCTGAGACAAGTCAGATTCTGATGGCTTCCTTTCTCACTTTCCCTCTCACTCTGTCTCTCTCTGGTCAAATTAAAAAACAATAAAGAGAATTTAAAAAATACTTCTTAAATTTTTTTTGGTGGAAATACTCTTTGAGTGATATAAGGCAGAAAAAAGTTTAAAGACTAAGGGAAGACAAAAGCCCAGCAGGCAGCATGGTCGTTAAGGGTAACAGACTCCCACACAGCCGACCGTGGTTCGAGTCCTGGACCTAGCGGCTTGCTATCTCACTTTCTCTCCCTCTCTGGTAAAATCAAAATAAATAAGTCAATAAACCAATAAAGTAAAATAATTAAAAAAAAACAAAAGAGTAAGGGGAGACAAGCCTAGCTGAGAATGGCAAGGGGGCTGAAGAAGGGTGCCAAGGAATTACCTTACCTAAATTCATCAAAATAAAGACTAACCAGGAGACCATTTACAGAATTAGGAGAATTTGGGGGTACTCTCTAGTGGATAACATCATCTATTCTTTTTCCATTTCATTTTCCATTTTCATTACATTCAGTCTTTATTAAGATTTTGGTGTGCAGTCTTCCAGATCATTTTTTAAAAAATTTTCCCATAGGTCATGTGTATTTGCCAGAGAGAAACAGAGAGAGAGAGAGAGAGAGAATGCCAAAGTGAGGAAGCATCCCCCATGAGGAACGGTCACACCGCAATCCCCTCTTTCATTTCCCCTCCCTCTGGGATTTCGGGCACACACATACACACAAGTGTGTGCGTGTTGCATTTTCGAAGCCCCCAGTGAGGCTCAACTATTTAGATGGTCAAGCAGGATCTGGCTTCCCCAATCGCCACTGCATAGCTGACCCCAGATTATGTTTTAATAGCTTTGCACACATATGGAGCCATGAATACTAATGATTTGTGATTATTTTGACTTACAGTAGTTTCGTCTTCTTCATCACTGAGCTCCAGAAAATCTTGTGCAGTGCCCCTCGAAGGTTCGTTCTTCCTTCACCCTGCACCTCCCGGCCAGGGTTCCTGTATCGCCCCCTTCCACTGCATGGATGGAGTATGACTGGGGGTTTTTGACAACAGAATGTGTCCCTTTCTTTCTTCTCTAAATTTCTTACTTTTATATTTTCAGACTTACTTATTTTATTTATGATTATTTTCACATGAGTTCACCAGGGAGAAAGGGGGAGAAAGAGAAAGCAAGCCGCCAGTTCTGGGTCTTGAACCACAGCCGGCCATGTGGGAAGTCCAACGCCTTTAGCCAACCACACCACCAATTTCTAACGTGCAGCTGAGTGCCTGACACACAGAGGTGCTCACACAGGCCTTCCCCATATTCCCTCAATCTCCATTTGCTCCTGTGTGAAACCAAGTTGGGCTGAACGATCTCCCAGGGACCTCCCCGTTCTAATATTCTCTGCCTTTGACAGCTCTGAGGTAGCCCAAGACACTCCGCCTCCCCTAAAAAGCCCACCTGTTGGCCTTAGCTGGCCTGGAATTACCAGTGCAAACACGAATGACCTGGGCACAACTTAGTGCCTAACCCTGCCCTGGTGGAATCAGCAATAGAGGGTTGTGAGCAAAAGAGCTGCAGAAAGCCTTGGCGGCAGCTGTGCCTGCAGCAGAGAGGACGCAGCCCCCACTGCACTCTCGGCTGCTGCTGCTCTTGAGCCTGGATTTTCCTCTGAGGCTCTGGATTGGCCCGAAGAGCCACAGAGGGCTGGGAGAGAGCCTCTATATAGTCCTCAGAGAGAAAGGCAGTCCCAGACAGTTCTGACCTCCTCAAAGACGCGCTCTGCTGTTCAGAAGTTGTGCTCGAAGCTGAGAAGCTAAGCTACTTGCCAAAATGTGCAAAGGACTTGCAGCTTTGCCCCACTCATGCCTGGAAAGGTGAGAGAGAACCCAATTATTTTGTTTTCAGAGATGGAGGCATGGAGAGCCTTTTCTCAAGGGAGGACACCTAGAGGCAATAGAGGCGTTGGGCATTGCAGCTTAGAGGGAAACTGAAGTGACAGGTACTTGGCTGCAGGCTGGGACTTGTCTCTTCCCTGTAAACGATACCGAGACCTGGAAAGACCTGAGCTAGGAGACTAACACAACATGAAACCTTCCATACATCGCCTAATGTCCAGAATGACATTTCCTCCAGAGAGCTTCCTATTTGATTCTACAGGTGTTCATTCAGAGCAAAATATATATGGTTAAGAATGTAGATTCCAACACTGGAATTCTGGGTTTGAATCCTGGCTCCACTACTTATTAGTTGTATGGCTTTGGGGCAATTTATTTAACCTCTCTGTATCTTAGTTTCCTTATCTGTCAAACGGAGCTACTAAGAGTATCTACCTCATGGGCTGGTTATGAAAAGAATGAATTAAAGTACGTGGGACTCAGAACCACAGCTCGTGGGAGAACTATATAAATGCTGACCTTTATGATGTACAGGGACTGGGGAAAAAGACAGATTTGCAGTGGGGCAGAGAGAATTTCTGATTGTTCTTTGTGCTCTGACCCCACTAAATAGAAGTAGCTGGATTGCTGGACAGAAGAAAAGCCCTTGACATATGGGGCTGATTTACTAGCTAGCATTCTTAAATAATTGGAGCAATAGCTTTGAAGCTCCCTGGTCGTCCTTCAACTGGATAACATACAGAAGAGATTCCTAAACATTGAGGTTAAGTGAACAGAGGAAGGATGCATATCTTATTTGCTAGAAAATTTACCCTAACAGTTCTACTTAATGCAGAAGTAGATGTCTCTCCTCTTATTAAGAATGGATTTGATTAAATTTGGTTTGAGCTCTCTTTTTTTATTTTTAAGAACTAAAGAAAACCTTTATGCAACTCTCCATTCCCTAAAGGCGTTAGCAATATTTCTTTAAGAAGGTTGCATTTGGTGGGACAGTTATAACTTTTGTCTTTTACAAACCCTGGTCGTCTTTCTGGTGACATCTATAAATAATCTCAAATGGTTTCTAAGGAGATAACATTGTAGCATAGAAATTTGTTTTCAACAATACTGTCTAGTGATTGAAAATGAAGTCTACAGGAGCCTTATTCCCCGTTGTCTAAAGTACGGATTATTTGAAAAAATACACATAAAAGAAACTGGTAGTTGTCCAGTTATAGTAGTTATATTATAACTAGTCAACCTTGGGGAAGAGGATAAGTCTTAATGCTGAATTTATTTTTTTCATTGTTATCAGCTTATTCTCCCTGCTACTTTGCCTGAAAAATAGTGAAAGCACTGAGGTTTGAAAGGCACCCAATGTTCCTTGAATATTAGAAGATGCATAATTATTTCCTTTTCTATTTTTGCAACAATGTGAATTGCAACTTGACTTTCTCACCAACTTTAATGGATGCCCGTAGCCCACTTACTGAAATTATTGTGTACGTTCATTTAATGGCTAAGTTTTGTCTTATTAATTAGTGATATTTGACTCTAGCATGATTATTAACATCAGTCTGGGAAGGCTTTTGTGCTTCCAGGATATACCATTTGGTATTCAGTGAGAAGTCAATAAATGTTTGTTGCAAGTTTGGCATTGTTACTCATCTTGCACTGTGTGTTCTTGCAAATATGCGTACTGGTTACTGAGACACCTGGAAGGGACGTTGCCTTGGATCACTCGCATTGCTGCCTTGTGTCCGAATCACTGCCAACAATAATACCAAATCACTTTGTGTATCTTTCCGTGTGCAGTCAATGCTTATGATCCAGGATGGAACCCATGGTCCTGTTCATTAAAGAGTAGCCAAGGAGCTTTTGTGTTTATCGACTTACTTTTGCATAGATAAAGTAAACCTTTAATTTACTGGAATGTTGTTGAATCCTGCAATTATTGCATGCTCTTTCGTATTTATTCATGATCTATTTCCGTTGTAAACAGAGGCCTATTTATTTATTTTTTCTCACTTTTTAATCTGCCAGTGGACACATGCACTCACTTGAGAGAGGGAGGAGAAAGAAAGTGAGTAAATGATTTCGGTGGAGATACTTTTTAATCTGCCAGTGGACACATGCACTCCCTTGAGAGAGGGAGGAGAAAGAAAGTGAGAAAATGATCTCGGTGGAGAATGGTCAGGACAGTCCCTACTTCATTTCTCCCTTCTTTCAGGTTTTAGGCACACATGCACACACACGTGCCTGGCGTGTTTCTCAAACCATCAGGTCCAGGACTCAGCTTGTGCAGTTGGCCATGTGGGATCCAGCTGCCTTAACAGCACACACAGGCAGGCCCTAGAGCCATATTTCTAAGTACAGTGGCCCTGACAAGAATGCTTTGGAGAAACAGAATTGTGGAGCTGTGAAGCTGTTAGCAGACACCTGTGGGTAGGATATACGGCGGTCTGTTCTAAGAGGAAAAGACACGTACGCAGGTTCCAGAGATCAGTGTTCTGTCTCCCGTCTCCTCTCCCCTGCAGGCTCTAGTTTTTCATTTCCTTTCTTCAAGCTACCAAAAAAACATGGGTATACCTTGATGCTTGGGTAAGATATTCGAAAATCCTTATCAAATAAACTAGAGTGGGCCAACAGGTGGTGCAGAGATTAAGGCTGGCTGTGTGAGTCAAGTCCTAGACCCAACAGCTTGAAAACCATACCGGGCAGGAGTGTGTGCGTGCCCAGAATCCTGAGATGAGAATGGAAGAGAAGGGATTGTGGTGTGGCCATCCTTCCTGGTGGTGATTTCTCACGTTCCTTCTCTTTCTCTGCCTCGCTCTAGAGAGTCCATGTATTCCATAGCAAAACTAAAATTTAAAAAATAAAATAAAAAATAAAATAAACTATGTCAACAAATATACATTACAATGTGTGTTTTTAACAGAAAGCCCTGCTGAAGAGTTAAATAGCAACCTCTGTATTACACTGAAAATAAAATTTTGCTTACAGGAAGCAGATTAGCATCCTGTTATTTATCATAGTGGAAAGACTACTGGTCAAGGGGTAAAGAGCAGACCCACCTTTGTCATGGTCTGAATCTGTGTCCCTGAGCTCGTTAATTCACTCCCAGGACTCTGCTTTATTATCATATAAGTGGAAGCTGGGTTAGTTGTTCTCTAGGATTTTTGCAGATTCAAACATGATGTAAACAAAGGGAGATATGCCCGGTTTCAGTGACCAGTGAGAGATGCAATTAACAGAAAAATTTTCCTAATCAATCGTTTCTTCAAAGTTTGGCAGCAGAAAAGGGTCAAATATTGATCAGCCAGAGGGATCCAACCTGGGCTAACACCACTGGGCTGCGAAAGAAGCATTCTATTCAGTGACTCTAATACTGGTTTATAAGAAAGCGTCATTTATTGGGACCAACAGTTAGCATAATGGCTATGTCGCTGGACTCCACATAGTTGACCATGGTTCAAGTCCTGGACCCGGTGGCTTAAACTCACGCCTGGTGTATGTGGGTGCATGCCTAAGATCCCTGGAGGAAGATGGAGGAGAAGGGATTGCAATGTGGCCAACCCCCCTGGAAGGTGATTTCTCACTTTCTGTCTCTCTGTCTCTGTCTTTCTGGCGAGCACACGTGCCCTATAGCAAAAACCTCACCAAAAAAAAAGAAAAAGAAAGCATCGTTTATTAACACTTCATTGCAAGGGCAGCTTTAATCCTAGAAGATATTCTCTTTTTGATGTGGAGGGAAGCACAAAGCCAGAGTCAACTCTGACTTATTTATAGAAGCTCTTCTCTTTTTTTCATTTAGATGTTAAGACCTCATTAAAACTCAAAGTAGACCTCACATACTTTAACAGATTTAAAAAGACAGAAAAGCCAGATATGTAAGCAATGATATCCCCCCATGTAATTCCTACCTGCTGGCATGTAAAACCTGGAATGTGCAGGTGGGGATCTTGTGCTATCTAGAGAATAAAATAGAGTCGAGTTAGTCAAAGGTCGGATCTTGTGCTATCTAGAGAATAAAATAGAGCCGAGTTATTTTTACCAGTGATTTTCAACCTAGAATTTTAGGCTTCTTTTGAAAATTTGTTTTATTTTCAGCCCTCTTGAATTTCTTCAAACAAGTTTAATTTCAAAGTCAATACTACTTTTTGCCAAAAGAGGGAAGTACTCTGAATTTTAAAGTGTTATTTTTGTGATCGCCCTCCCCACAGTTGTCACTATAACGTGGAGCAACCGGTGTGGTTATCATTTATGTTAATCAGCATGGACTAGTCTTACTAACAAGTCTACTAAACCAGTGAGAAGTAAACTAGAAGGGAAGTGACTAAGACTTAGCTTCTGACAGAAGGGTTTTAGTGCTACGCTAATGAAATAGCACAAGCCTTGACCAGTGTAGGGATCTGGCATAGGCCTCAGTTCTCTTTACGAGTATGAAGGTTGCCTGGACCTGGAGGCTTGGAAATCATGCCAGGTGTGAGCGCGTGCATGCCCAAATCCCAGAAGGAGAATGGAGGAGAAGGGACTACAATGAGATCATCATGGGAGCTGATTGCCCATGTTCCTGCTCACTGCTTCTCTGTGTCTCTGTGCTATGGCAAAAACCTTAAAAAAAAAAAAAAAAAAAAAAAAAAAAAAAAGAGATGATGAAAGTGGCTAATGGTAAGCTGTGTTTAAGGCATGGTTCCCACGGCGCGGGAGGGGGGTGTTGTTGGCTATCTCAAGGGCTGGAAATAATCGTGAATGTTAAGTCCTCTGTAGGTGATACTTCGGTGATATGATAACATCTTGTTGAAATGTGTAATGTTAAGAAAATGAGTGAACCATTTAATAAGATTTGGAGGAGATCACTAAGAAAAACTATTTTCATTCTTATCAATGAAATAATACTGATCATTTTGCTTAATTGCCTTTCAAATCTGCATCCTTGCCTGAGGTATCCAGTTGTGAGACTGAGGCGTACTCTCAAGGAAATCTCAGCCCTTTAGCTA